ATCAAGGTAAGGGGCTATTTTTAGGCTTTTGCCCATGTAGACCAGGGCAGTGGTCCTCCTGGGATTTAAAAAAAATAATATATAAAATTAATTTATGAATTATTATTATTAAAATTTTAAATTTTGTATTTTTAATTATTAAAATACATAAAATAAAAAAATTCAATAATAATAGACTATCTTAGGAGGTCAAATATAATTTATATTATCTATTATCTATTTTAACAATTTAATTAATTATTATTATTTAAAACTCATTCATCTCAAAGCCCATAACTAAATTCTATAGGAAAAGAAAAAAAAAAGGAAAAAGAAAAGAAAAACAGTTTCTCATATTTTCTATGCCATTTCTCTAGTATTCAACCCCACTATCTTAGTGCCAATTTTCTTCAACCAATTAATCTCAACTCAACAACTTCAAAAAAAAAAAAAAAAAAAAAGAGATTTCGCTAACAACCTAACACAAGCAACTGCCACACTGCTCTCGTCATTGAAAATTTAAAGACAAAGGGACCACCAAGGAGATTACTAACTTTTTGGTAAAAACTAAAAACAACACTATCATTTTTTATATGAATCATATATTGCCATATTGAATTTCAACTTTCAAGTTTTGTAAGTTTCTTTTATTTTATTTTAAAATTGTCTTATATTTATTAGTAGATATGTTTTAATAAAAAAAATTAGTATACTCTCTTTGTCTTAGAATACTTGATTTTTTTATTTAGAATTTATCCCAAAATAATAGTTATTTTTTTATTTTAAGAAAGATAAATAGTTTTTTTTTTTATACTTTAACCCTATAATTATTTTTTAACTTTAATTATTTATCTTTTGATTCAAGTAGATATTTATTCTTAATTATTTTTTAAGTATAAAATAGGTAAAAATAGAAATTGTTTTCAAATCCTTCATTTGAAGATAAAACAAAAAATATATTATTCTAGTATGTAAGGAGTAATATTTAAATAATGAAACTTATTGATTTTTTATTATCACAAAAAATTGTATAATTTCTTTTTAGGATTTAATGTTGTTGAAATTACAAATAAAATTGAATATTATGATAATATTGAAGTTATATGTAATAGAATTGAATAGAAGTAAAAAAATTGAAAAAAAAGAAGAAGAAGAAAGTATAGATCCATAAAAGGAACATATATGAATTTAATAAAAGAAAAAACCTTGGATATAGTCGTATATAGAAAAGCAATAGGGAGATATATTAGTATAAAAGGAAGATAAACTAGTATAAAAGGAAGATAAAAGGGAAAAAAATTATTTAGTTGTAGAAAGTGGTAGGGTGAAGATATAGGTTGTTGTTGTATTTCATATTTGTCAAACTCACTTGTGGAAATGGAGAATTTGTTCACCCTGCCAGCAACAACAGAAAGAGTATTTTTTTCCATGAAAATTGTGAAAATGAGACTTTACAACAAAATGGAGGATAAATTTCTTTCAAACTCTTTAATTGTTTATATTGAAAAAGAAATAGTTCAGTCATTTAGTGTAAATGCTATTATAATAGATCTTGTGACATAAAAACTCATCAAGTGTTATTTTAATTTATGGCATAGAAGTAAGTTTTCAAAATTATAATGCATGCTTTTAAGACTTGAAAAACTAGTCTCCTTGACTAAAATTCTTGGCTCCGCCACTAGGCAGCAACAATATTGATACCAAATCCAAAATCACCACATTGCTTTCATTGTTCAATTTTTTTAGAGTGAACTTCATTGTTCATTGATCCACAATGCACAGGGAGGTTTTTTAGTGAACGTTTGAATTGACTGAGTTGGTTGTTGATTCTTCCAAGTTGAGAGGAAAAGATGTCTATAAAGGGAGAGTATAGAATAATAAATTAATTCAACTATAATTATAGAATGAGTATGAAACCTACAAATTAATAAGTGTAGATGTAGTGGCTATGCTACCTAATTGATCTTCTCTTTTTTCTTACTTTATTTGTTTCATTATTATTATTATTATTTTTGAACAAGTTGTCAAAGGGGCGGGCTCGAGGAGGAGGGGAAATGCATTTCAAGTTAGTAGGGTACCAGTTAGTCTGAAGGGCTAAGTGCGTTTCATTAATTATAATTAAGAAATATAAAAAAAATTAATAATTTTGAGAACTAAGTCTTGGGAAGTTGATATCTTTATCTTAATTTTAATTATATATAAAATCAACTCTATAAAGTAGCTCAACTAATAAAGAATTTGAAAATTCTAAGTTTGAAACTTCAAGTTTCAAACATTAAATTGGGTAGGAAAGGATTTAGAAAATGATCAAAACTATTTTCTCTT